TCGATCGCGTCATGATTAATTCCGTCTAAATTCAGCATTATAAGATGCCCTTGAAATGAATAGCAGATCGGAAGCCCAATTGTATAGCCTTTGTTTATCAGACAGTTTGTGTCATGTGACATTTAACAGTGTGCTACAGAGGAAACCAAGCGGTTCTACGCATCTGTGCGGTATACGCTTTCATTCAGATAGCCCAACTGTGGAACGACATGAAAGACACTTTTTGTAATTCACGTGGTTTGTTGCGGATATCACATCGAATAAATCATTCTAGAAGAAATAAATATGATATTTTGTTGTGGTGTGTCTACAGATGCAACCCACATAACTTAGCGCATCAACCTATTATCTTACTATCGGTGACATAGAATGATTCCGTTATCTTGGTATTTCATGTGCGAAGTCTGAAATGATCTCTACGTATGAAACAGAATGCGATTCCATAGGGCATAATTATTTTTCTTGTGTCTTTAACTTTTAATTAGTTTAACGATTTAAAATTGGATGCTACATTGGATCGATTAATTATCAGTATTATTACAAAGGGGACATTATAAATACCATAGGTCTTTCTACTTTTCAGGCAAAATTTATTTTTGTGTGTAAATTTTTTTTAAAAAAACACAATTGAAATAAAATATTTGATACCTACGTCATGAGAATAATCCTGGAATACGTTTCATCTGGTTTCTAATAAATCTGTTCGTGAAAGTTGTTTGGCTGCTTGATATGTTGTTTATTTTTTTATTTTTTAGCTATCGTCCATGTTGAGAATAATAATTGTCGCATGCAACTTACTCCCTTCTGTACACTTTGCCTGAATTTTAACATACCGTAAAATCCTTGGCATGATTTCAAAGGCTGGCGGTGTGGTTATACCATATTATCATTAAAGTGTAACTGTCTTTCTCCCTGGAGAAACATTTCATTACAAATTAAGCCGTGTATGGGGATTATAAATGACACGATGTGAAAGAAAATTAAGTCCATGTAATTTATAAATTAGCCCAAAGGCAGGAACAGAAAAAGAAAACTCCTACATCCTACGCATTTCAAATCTACCAGAAGCAATCGATTTACTTCATTAATCTTCAGTGATAAGAGGTTTAGTCTTTACAAAGTTTCGAAATTTCTTTTCAATAGTTTTAGACTTTTGAGGCACTGTATTGAACGCTTCGTTTAATCGATATAGGTTTTCAGGATGAAGATTACTTACAGGCGATACTTACCTTCACTGAAGAGGAAGAGGTGACAGAGAGATGTTTGCCGTCTCCTTTTATCAGGGGTGGGCAAGATACTAATAAATACGAGCTATGCAAAACACAAACACTGGTGTGTACGCGCAGCAGCTGATGAAGTAGAAGAAAGATTTTGTTATGGTCCGGGATCGGCGATGGTTTGTTCATGGTCGAACGCTGCTGTGTTGTCGCGTAAATTCTCACCGGGTAAGAACTCAGAACGAACCGACCATGGTGTTTGAGAGACCGGAGAAAATCACTACAGACTTCAATCAATTTAATGAGCAATTCGACCAATATCTGAACCAGGTACCCCAGGATACAAGTATTCAGCTTTATCGCTACACCATTGTAGTCGATAACATCAATTTGGTAGACGAACACCGCTTCGATACTTGATCGACTTTCGATATCTTTCGGGAACTTTCAATATTTGCATTTGAAACACTAGAATGCATGTCACTTCAGGATGTCTGCCACTCTTGCTTGTAGCAAAATGCATTTTATTAACGACACGATTATTCATGTTGTCAATTCTTGTGATATTAATTACACCATATGTTCATATGGCAACACTCCGTCCGAAAAAAGATCTGTGGGCAATATGGTACACACATGTCGTCTCATCAGCGAGCTGCTCAGCGCTCACAGACTGCAGATCACTCCCCGTATTTTTCAGTAAGATATTTTGACTGTGAGCTAGTCTGGTGGTGCAAAGTCACGACCTTTTGCTTCCCTGTGATTACAGCATTGCCAAGAATTTCTGTTCAATGTGGCCCTTTATCTTTACGTCATCGCAGACAAAATACAATCAGTGACAGGCTTGTATTGTGTCTCACAACAACTTCGGTTCTCAGTCTGTTGACTACGGCGTTAAAATGTTTCACGAGCTGAACTGTTTTGCAAGCCGTAGATTTCCACGAACTAGAGCATAATAATGATGCAGATCATCATCAAACTTCAGATATATGCACAGTGTTCACGGCGTTTTAGCCTAGTGCACGCATGTATGATACGTCTCTCTGCCTGTCAGCGTGTATCATGTTCGAACAAACAGAAATAATTTCTATTAATTTTGGTAGTGATAGGTTCTTGGTACAATTTAATTTGTCAATTACGGTTCAGTAAAACCCCTAAATCTCAAATATAACTTTGTCAAAGGTTCTGCTTTGTGGGATCTTATAATATGACCGACGTTTCAGAGATGCTTAATGACTCAATCATCAGGGCTTTCATCAATATTTCTGAATAAACCCGTCACATTATTGCACGTAACCTCGTTTAGAGATGCAACGAATATAATCGACGCAAATTATAAGGGGCATGAAAGATACTGAAGTAGCACAGAACCCTTGAATGCTTAAAATCTGGAGGAGAAAAAACTGCTGTTAAAATTTGAAGTTTAAGGAAATAGGAATACCACACAGGGCTGTTCAACCCCGAATTGACGGTCTCACCTGGAAAATATATCATCTGTCTGGCAGAACCTTATGTCGAATTTCCATATTTCTGAGTGAGATGTCGAAATTCTGAAGTATTAGTCGACTTAAAAAATTTAGTTTCTTACGCAATATTAATTACTACATAAAGTAAATAAATACATAACGAAGAAACAAGGACCAGTTGGAGGTCCAGTTCCACAGAGAGAAAGTCTCACCCCATCACAACAATAAGTAACCCTGTGCAGTCGACAGTAGGCCGCTCCGCCCCCAACAACCGGAGCTGGCAACCGCAGTGACGCATTGCTCAGCGCCTTTGCGTAACACATAATTCACTCCACTCTTGAACGACAAAACTTCCTTCCATTTCGATTCCAAAACTTTCTTTACTGTATTTTATAATTCTATACGTTCATCTTACTCAGCAGATCTCATACATTTATTCAACACCCTCCCCCCCCAAACAAAAGAATTATATCCTTGGATCTCACAACCCAATACTCGGACAAGCAAGTTGATTCATGGCTACCTTACTTAACTCTAAATAGAGAGACACTTGATTCGGCAAATCTACTGAATACCCTTGGGTTTTTCATTATTTTTCTCAGCCCTCCAGATAAAAGCCTGGATAGTACATTAGGAGTCATCACTTCACCATACACAAATGTCTTCTTAAGTCAAACGACAGTAAATAACCTCAGTAGTTGATTCAACTTCGTTTAACAGCCAGTCTCCAGATAGTACATGCTCCACGAAAGTTGTCACTATAGCTTGAATTTTTGTTTTTAGTTTACAGGTACGCATTGGAAGGAAATTAAATAGAAATAAATGTCACTTGCATCTAGGAATCTACTATTTTTCAGGCTAAATCTGCCTTCAATTCCCTGCATACACGTGGAGTTCACCACAGGAAATATTAATTACCTCAACGTTTCATCGACACTCACGTCCGTGACTGTCTTCTCTTTCCTTTGCTTTATTTTAACTTCCCCTTCTCTGTCTTTCAGCCTCTGCTTTCTGGATGCAGCTTTAAAAAGCAACATCTGTTGACTGGAATGTTTTGTAATTCGTAACTTTGTAACTTTACACAGTAGCTAATAGCTGTTTAAAAAGCTTGTGTTTATACGAAGTAGTATTGGAGAAGCTTAGATCTCTTTTTGGGCAATCTTCTTGTACGACCACATCTGTATAAACTGCTCATACTATATTGTAGATAATATATATTTGTGTAAATATACACTACAGGCAGAAAATATAGCTGCTCTGTAGTTAAATAAATAATAATGCAACTTTATACTACACTATAACATCGTACGATAAGTAATATTATCTGAAGATGGCTGTCTTCTGGGATGTTTCGTCGTGTGGTCCCATGAAAGTTTACCGACGTTTCAGGAGACATGAAGAAGCGTTTTACGGCAGTACTGTGTTTAATCGTAAATTTCTGGTATACTGTAGCTTAGCTAAAAAATTAAATATTGTTTACTTTCTTTTACTGCCAGCTTACAATTCTTTGACGATAAATAATTCTACGAAATTATTCGTCCGTCCGAGACTATTAAGACTACAGAAGTTAAAAGCTTGCCAAATTATTTTGGCAGCATTTTATCTGCAATATGACGATTAGTTATCCCATAGCGCCAGGATTCCTATGCATTTCAGTAATCTGTAACTGCCATATACATTTTCTCTCCTGGGGTCTCCACACCTCGCTTTGTTCTGCTAAACTGATTTTATTCGTAATCAGTGCTGCCAGTTCTGAGCGTGAAATATCTCTGAAAAATCGAAGTACATGTTTTTATCCCACGACTCAAACATTGTCTGCATGGTCAACGTGCGATCAGACTATTTCATCGATCCGAACACACGACGTGCCATGTCCAAATACGCATACAACTGTTATTTTAAAAGGAGTTGCGTTGTGATTTTAAACAGAGGTCTATTTTTCGTACACCAAGTATTATTGCAAAAGCCTACCTATGGGAATAACTTTGATTTAACATTGTTATTTCTTAAGGATTAGGTCTCTTGACCTGTTGCGGCTCCAGATACCTGCAACTGACCTATCAATGACTCCAGAGGTCGATTTAAATACCCTCTACGAATCTTCGAATGTCCTTTTATGTCAAGTTACATCTTTTACGCTTTTATCCCGTTCAAAGAGGTTCAATATTTTTATCTGTCTGTCACTTTCTTTGTCCAATAACCTCATACTGTTTCACGAAGTGAGTTTTATATTGGAGAAGTTATTACACTTGAATTCACCCGAAAACAGGAGTTTGATGATGACAAGCTGTAATGTTTTACTGTTCTTTCATTTCAGGATGGCGTGTGGAGTTCGAATTTCCCTGATGGTGCTTTTCCTCAGCTTGCCTCAGTGGTGCTGGGGTGGGCGGTGTCCTCATAACTGCACGTGCTATCTGGACGACAGAGGTCGTCGTCAAATTATGTGCGCTCGAGGAGGCATGACCGATCCCATTCCCATACAATCAATGGATCAGCAAGTTGAAGTGCTGGTAATAACGGCCCCCTATAATTATTCCAACGACCTCACAATTGGCCCAATTTTCCAACAATTCAATCGCCTAGAAGAGTTACACATAGTGCGATCAAACATACCTGCGATTGGCAGACATTCGTTCTGGGGAGTACCAACTCTTCAGAAGCTAAACTTGACTCACAATAACATCTCTCACGTCCTTGACTACAATTTCCGTGGCCTGGCTAATCTCCTAGAACTGCATCTGGACGACAATCGCATCGAGTCCATGCCAAGCGAGACTTTCCGATATCTGCAGGAACTCAGGGTCTTGTCACTCGCCCGCAACAGAATCACCAAACTAGTGCCGAGACTTTTTCTTATGCTCGGCAAGCTGTACCAGTTGGATCTCAGTGGCAATCGGCTTATGGAGTTGAACCCCGATGTTTTCAAAGATGTGCAGGTGGGTGACATTGTTCAATAATCCAAAGTTTCTTTCTTTCTTTCTTTCTTTCTTTCTTTCATTCAGAAACACTCATCATCCTTCTGTCTGTGATGGAGAGTTCAAGAAGTTTATTTTTTTAAACATTCTCTCTACCACAACATATAATCCTACAAAATAAATTCGCCTGTAAAATACTTTATATATTAAAAAATCAAGTTTAAAAATAGCTCTAAAGGCATCTAGTATCTAACCAGTATTCTGGGTTACGTATTGGCTTTCAAATATTTTAACTTTATCGAACACACGTTGAATTAAGTATTTAATAATTTGGGGCAGTCACACAAACTGAAGCACTCGTTTTTAAAACTTTATAACATAATTTTTATTATGAATGTGGTATTTTATAATATTTAGGATAATATTTGTTCTTTATTCTGAGAACTGAACGCAACCATTAACTAGACCACGAGTAACATGCAGAGTTATTAAACGCAAACGCTGACCAACAACAGTCCAGAGTATTCAAACATCTTCGCAGATCGATGCAATTACTGTCTTCAGACTCGACTGTGGCTCTTTAAAAATACACTCTCATATATTTAACTGACATGACAGTTTTGATTCGAATAGGATAAGTGATGCATGCTTTCTTGTTTTTATTTTTGGCAGAGACTGCGAGTGCTCCGATGTCGAGGTTGTGGTCTCTCCAACATCAACACCCTTATCTACCGCCTGCTTACGGACTTGATGTACCTTGACCTGGGTGACAACGACTTCAAGTACGTTGCATCAGACGAGTTTCGGGACCTGAGAAACCTACAAGTTCTCATGATGGACGGAAACCAGCTACCTGTGGTTCTGGAACGGACATTCGGAAACAACGGAGCTAGCGGAGGACAGATCGACCTGCAGACACTGTCGCTTGCCCGAAACCGCCTTGCTAAAGTGACTGCAACGGCCTTTGAAAATCTCACCACTCTGCAAGAACTGGACTTAAGTTACAACAAACTGAATCGCTTGGAGACAACTACTTTCCTTCCGTTGGCTGAATCTCTCCGTCGACTAAAACTGAGCGGCAATTTAATTTCTCTCTCAGAGGTCAAGTACGTTCTACAGGTCATTCTGAAACTACGTGACCTTTCTCTGGCCGATATGGGAATTACTGACGTCCCTCTGGGGCTTTTCGTGTACCATGAACACCTCAGAACTCTCAACCTGTCCGGCAACAACTTTGTGCGCTTTCCAGCACAAATACTGTCTCCGATACCAAAGTTACAAGAAATAGATCTTTCGAGAAATCGATTTCGCGGATTGGACGAGAGGCTGATACTGAGATTAGAGGCACTGAAGACGGTACACTTACAAGGAAATCCATGGGTTTGCGACGTGTGTCACTTGTCGTACATGTTGAACTACATGAACAAGAGCACTTTTGGCGTAGCCATGAGAGAGCTGGCGTGTTTTTCGCCGTACTCATTAAAGGGACGACTTCTCGGCTCCCTGTCGAGGTCGTCACTGTCCTGGTGCACCAGTAGTGATGGCGGTCTGGGGTATATGGAGAGTGGTGGTGGAATTGTGTCAACTAATTTCCTAGCAGAACATTCGCGGTTCGGGCTGCTCGCAGCTGGCGCAGTTGTTCTCTTGTTACTACTGACCGCTGCAGCGCTTCTAGTAGGTATCGCATATTCCCGCCATCATGCGGCCCACTATTACACACGAGAGGAGCAGAGAGGACCAGAGCATGAGGCTATCTTCGAGAATCCAGCGGCAATCCTTGGTGAAAATGGAGACATTAAGTACAAAATAGTGCCCTTGGATATCACGAAACCATCTCCGAGGAAGAAAAAAGTGTCCATTTCTACAATTGATGGGATCACTAAAGATCCCGAAATACATTCATTAACTAACGGGACCTGAGTAGTGCGCTTCAGTGACACAGTGGAAACTCATTGCTAGTATTACGCAGGGACCAACATCCTCCGTGATGCGGACCACCTGGTTGTAGCATGAGTGGTGTCACTGAAGCAAACCACATGCAAATGAAAACATTCCAGCTAAGCTGTGAGACATTCGGTCATTTTGTTTCCGTTCGACCTTAATGCCGCTGTGCAAGTTCGAAAGAAAAACACCATCATACATCGACGTCTATCCGGTTTCTAAAAGGATCGGTCAACTGTCACGGGCCTCTGTACAGACCTCCATCACTGGATCTAAACAGACATCGAGGTCCACATACCACACAGTAATATCGCGCCTTGGCACTTGTGTTTGATGCTGGGGGCTGTGTAGAATTGATTTTCGATATGGCTAGCAACTCTGCTCAAGTAAAAGGTAGGGGGAATTTTGCGAGTGCAAAGTGGCATGTACCTTGTAGCAGTGGAATACGTTGAAGAGGAACAGACCGGAGGGAGGAGCCTTGTTCACCCTCCCTTACTTTGAAGGGAATTCTTGTTACAGCAGGAGCGCCTCGCCTTCCTACCCTTCGGCTTAATTAACGACCCCTTCTTCATTTTCACATCATGGTGCTACTGATGGTAGGGGTGGACTCTGACGAAGAGTGCTGGACTTCCAATCCCAACCCTGTTAAAATGCTTTGGAAGCTTGATTTTTATTGAAGAGTTTATACAAACAAAAAATTCAACACATAGACTATGAGTGTGATGAATAATTAACATATAATGAAACTTACATATAATGTACATAAGCCTGTAAAACTATAATTTGAGTACTCCTATATGTTATGAAGATGGGTTTGTTTTAAATTGTGGCGTATGCTGAGAGCCGAACGCAATGTGAAATGTCTCCAAAGAAGATAGTGAAAATAGTAGTAACAGTCTCTCGTAAAGAAATATAATTATATTAACTAATTGGAGTACAGTTTGCGGTGATGATGGTGATGAAATGTTTTTGAGTCCCATAACGTTCTATTTTAAATAATCTTTAAAGAATAGATATAGAAGTGTTTTGTTAACACCCATTTTGACATGAAGTGTGTTTTTAAAGTCAGAAACACAGTATACTGGCTCTAAGAAGTATGCCCTTGTAACAACTACAGTTATAGTTATTACTGTAAACTCGTACAATATTTTTCAAAGTGTCTAGTGCATATCATTGGATAAACATGTTTTTAATATTCTATTTTTAAGTGTGCCATTTTCTGTCTGATTTTGTCATGGGACCATGAATAGAATTCCGTTATGAACGTGCGTCAGATTACAGGGGCAGCTACAGGTGATTTTGTAATTAATGTTTCAGGAACAATCTATGTTTTATCGTTCTAATCGTGCCTAATGCCTATATAACTAGCTTATAGCATCAAATTTGTCATGATTAAGAAGCATTTCTTTGCTTGTCCATTTATTACCAATGTTAAGAACAATCCGGAAATTAATTTACATTTATTAACTTACTGTAAAAATATATATATTTAATTTCGTATAAATCAATAAGGAATTATTCTGAGCTCGAATAGATAACATGTAGAAAGGCTACAATAAATGGCCGCTTGAAAAGTTAACTTTTCAGTCTAGTATTTCTTTGTAATAATTGTTTCCAGTTTTGTTCGTGCACGACGTACAGGATATATATTTAGCTTAAACTGAAATAATCGGGGATGTCTGTGATTTAAAACACAGGGAAGCAGTAGACCATATGGAATCAAATATATCAATAAATTTTAATTAAGCAGTGTCTTCCAAGTTGCTAAATTATAAAACATTAAAACTGAATGTTGTGAGGACCATATTATATCAGTTAAATATAGCTTAATTTTCTTATATCCTCCTCATTTTAGTAACACAGTTTCATTCGTGTCTGCGTAAAACAAAGCTACTTACAGCCCTATTATGCAAGTATTTTATATTTTTAAGACTAACTTGGTACTACTTATACATCGTTCTAAAGACGCATTTAAAATGAGGAGCCTGTATGACATGGTAATAAACAAGGATTCAAGCAACTGTTGCTGCCCCTTCTATTTTAAATTTGTTTATATTATTCTCCTTATCATTTATTCATAAAATACAAGAATGTATTAAAGCAGCGTGGAGTTGGTTATTATGCTGTGTCTTTATGTAGTCTGTAGTGACTTGTGATACTTATCATTATCATTATCCCTACGTGGTTTGTGTTATCACGTTTTATTACACGGGGAATTCCTTGAGTGCACTACATGTTTCTGCATCGATATTGACCTCTCCTTTTCAACACATATTATGGAAATAACTTAATTTGTTTTGATACCGACTGGACACGCTGGTACGGTCCGAAGACGTTCCACACAAGTGTATTGTGCGCTGTTCCGAGGAACGATTTAATAACGACAGAGGTGGCATTATAACAAGTATTTATCAGAAATTCTTGAAACGTGTCTTATTGAGGCAATTGCTCATGTGCGATTCGCGAGCTGTTGTTTAAGAATCGCTGATACAGATGTAAGTCCATCAACTAAGTTTTGGTTGTCAATTAGAAGACAATACACCCGATTTTTTAACCATGATGGATGTTTTAATCAGAAATGTTCTCTATTTAAATTGCTAACTCCTGTACGCAACGATATATTTTAGTTTATACAAGTTCAAAAACTGTTTTGATATTCTATGTACAAATTTCCGATTCCTTCTTCAATATTACGTAAAACTTTGTTCGAGCATAACGCAATTTCTCTTTGGTGAAAGAATGTTTCGAATACTGCTGTCTTCTGGGTTGTTACGCCGTGTAGTTTACCGAAGTTTCAGATGTGCTTGCTGTTTTCATCATTAGGGTGATGATGATAGAATCAGCACGGACGTTTGAACCGTTAGTAAACTTCTACCAGACTATAAGGCGCTACAACCCATAAGACCTTCATTGTATTATTTTATTATCAAAATTAAATCGGTATTTCCATTTTTCATTTGTCCAGCAGAGGAATCATTTTCGTTAATTCGAAAATATTGGACCGAAGTTTGAGGGATTATTCTGGAGACAAAAAAAAATGGCACTGTTAGTCATTACCTATTAATTGTTTAAAAGCAACAGTGCTTCAGGCCCAGGTCTTATACCAGTCTGTAATTTCTATACTTTGAGAAATAATTCATCAAAGAATTCGTTAATACATTAAGCTATTTAAAAAAAATAATTAAATTACAAAAGTGACATATCTTCGAATAAATTGGAGAAATTATAAGTAGACAATAATTTGGAATGTTCAGTGATGATCTTTTTCGACGTAATGTACCAGTATTCGCTTGTAGGGACTGGGTAGAACCAGCAGAAACAGCCCGAACATCCAGTAACCCAGAAACGATTAGATCTGTCCCTTTTGACTACAAGTTCAGTGCGTCAATGCTAAACCCGCCCCTTCGGTACTATGGACCACATTCCAAACACCGTACACCTCCCTTTGATATTTACTGACAAGGAAGCTTATAAGTGTTTAGGTAAAAGAGGTCTGTGCTTTGAGCTTTGAGCACAACGATAGAAAAGAAAAAAAGGTCATTTGTCAAAATGTTTGCCTAAACACTAGACGTTCATCCAACTTCAATTCAAATTCTAGTGTTCTATTTCTCAAACTACCTTTGCGTTTAAAGCTTGCAAATACAATCAATTATTTACAAACTCCGCTCTCTAAAGGCAATGCTGTAAATAAAAGTGAAGCGAATTAAGGCAGAGAATACACTTAAAATTCTGTACGAGAAATATAGTTGTGTTTGGTTTAATTGCACAACAGCTCCGACTTGTTTCCAGCAAATTCCCACTGAACCAATGTCTACAACTTTTCTTCCACGATACATGCACCAGCCGAGAAATGTTGGACACAATTCTATTTTCCCCACGAGATGCTGTAACGAGCAGTTTCTTTACGAGTCTCGTATCCAGCTCCTGCATCCCCCTTTCTTACCCTAATAAATTTAGTATTTTTTTTTTGCGTCCTCGTTTCTCCTGGTTGGCCATCTGACCGACTTCACCTACTCCATACCACAAAAACAGGTAATCGAAATTCTCCACAAAACCCTACCACCAACATTGTTACATTTTATAGGGCACTCGCAGGTTTCAAAAACATCCTGATAGATCCATTCAACCAGTGGATCATTTTATCCACGAGGATGTACTTGATAGAATAATATTATGATCACAGGTTTATGGTAAAATGAAATTCCTCTCAAGTATAGAAACTCAATGCAAAACGTGTACATCACTTGGAAGATTTTATTCGATAATTTTTCAAAGACACTCAACCTGACTGACACTTAATCTTTCTAAATAATGTTAGGTTAGTGTAAGTTGTCTAAAGAAGCAAACACTACTTCCTTTCAAATTTGAAGCTATTCATAAACCTCTTTAGTATTCTGACAAATCAATATTTATGGTAATTTAAACTTTTAAAATTAATAATATTAGATCGATACTGCAAAACATTTTTTTAATAACTACTGTAATTTCCTTCTAAGAATTGGACTTTTACCACGTCTTGTTTACTTAATCTAAGGAAGCGAGAACATTTGTACTAATAACCAACATAAATAGTATGCCATCAAGTGGATAAGAGTTCAAATCTCGTATTTTCCGCATAGGAATTCGTAGTGGAAGGTATTTGTATTCGTTAATTATCTTTTTATTTCGACGCTGTATGGGCTGAGTTGTGACAGATTCGAATAAACCATAAATTAAAATGTAATATGATAGGACTTTTATAATCCCTAGCCTTCTACAAAAAGCAAACTTTATTTTGTTCTGATAATATCCTTATGATATCAGCGTCTATTCTGGCGGGATTCAAAAATTTCTGGCCTCAGGATGGGTTGGAATAAAACAAAATTCGAAACTGGGGAACAGAAGAATCAAGCGAGTCATATATGACGCAGGAAAAGTCTGTTACATGGTAAGCGCTAGCTGGACGAATTTTTTTTAAAAAAAAAATGTAGTAGGCAAATTCATTATACGGACGGTAGACTCTATTAATTATGCAAAGGCGCTCTGCTGCAAAATGGGGGTAGTGTTTTATAACTCTCTACAGCCTGGAGACAGGCCTGTCGCTGGAGCAAAACTTTAGCCTTAATTTCACGGACAAACAGTCAAGTCGTTTTTCGGTACTTGCGAAGTAGACTTGCATGAAACTATAAAATTACAGGTCCTGAAAAGGAAAATTGTGACAACCGTGTCAACGGCTTCACGCAATCTACAGACACATCATCACTGATTCAATTGTATTCACGCAGCTGATATGAATCCACATGTAGTCGCTGAGTTCAAAAAGTAATTATTATTAATTGAATAAAGCCTTTGTCGGTAAAGCAGGTAACACAGGTCGGTTGTCGCGGCTTTAGGGTTAAAATTCAGTATGATAATGAAAAGATATTAACACATTTAACAGACGGCTGAATAATCTGTTAAAGTTTTAAAAGTGTCAATAATTCACGACAAACATTTTCAAAATATGGCGAATGTTACGTTTTTATAAAATTATATCTTATTACGCAAAATAGGAAATTTTTGGTAACTCCGATCGCCCTGCTGATGGAGGCAATAAGCTCTGTGTGACAATGGTCAATTTATACGAGAGTACACGCCGCGACATCTCAGAATACCGTTATCATGACCCTTTCTGTAATCGAACCCCTCCAGCCAGTCTACTAAGTGAGCTATCCCGTATGTTTTCATAAACTGATATTTTTTTAAATAAATACTTCCTATGAATTATTACGTATTTAAACGGTTTGCAAATATGAATATGTTCTATATTTACTCCTAAAGTATTAAGGAACTCGGTGAGCCATGCGCAGGCAGTCTGGCGCAGGATTGAAATGGAAATTAAATTGTACGACCTAATGTAGAATATTCTTTGTAACGATGCGTGTGTTAATTTTCTGCCAAACAATTTTTCTGTTTCTTTCTAATTCACCTTCCCTTTACGAATTAATACTTAAATTGCATAGGTAAAGCGAAGGTGTATTTTTTAAAATGGTTGTTGGTTTCGGGGACTACCGCATGAAGCAGGGACTAGACAAGGTTACTTGAGGAAGGTTTTGCAGAGAAATAAACGGACTTACTGGCTAGAGGTGTGGAATGGAGAACCGAAAACTCATTATCCTCCTGCTATGCCTGGGTCTGACAGCAGAACAATTACTGTTCCCTTTTCATCACCCACCTTACGTCTATACCCTCTTTGCCCCCTTCATGTTCCACGTATTTATCACATCTCTCTTTCAGTGTGGTACTTGTGTCGTTTATATGAAATGATCCCGGAAATTTATTTCACGTGAATAGATTCACAAAAATTCTTTTCTTCTCAAAATGTCAGGGTTCACAAACACCCTGAGGAATCCCACCTCACTTCACGTGACATTTCAGCTGTCTGGAATACTTTCTCTTGTGTGTTTTTTATACGCTTAGTAACAAAGACTTAAATTCTGATTGTAAGCGGATAAAAGCCACTCACAACTTATCGTTTCCGAGTGAACCCCCTATAATGTGTAAGACGAAACGCATGTGGCTTCTGTAAAATATTAGGCTAATTTACGATGCTGAATCAGTTGCACAATGGCGTAAGATCGTCAAGATCACGTCTGGGTAAAAATAATAAGCAAATAATTAATTACTGGATATACCGCTTGTGACACTTATGTAGAAATGGCTTTCCATTTTACGTAAATATTATTAGATCTATGCTTCATTCCTCCTTCTAGACACAATAATTAGTTTAAGATTCTCTTTAATATTATTCTCCGATTTATGACTACTGCTAGCAACTGGGCTATTCCGTACACTTTTTTCAGGAAATATTTCTATGAAAATCTCACCTGGAACCTGCTCTGTAACCCTTTGAATTCACCCCACATAATTTATCACGCTAATAACATATTTTGAAGCTTTAATATTACGAATCTCCGCATTATGCTACCTCTGTTCGTTTAGGTACAAATATTTTCCTCGGTACTTTGTTCTCAAACACCATTCTTTGTTATCCCAGTACTATGAGAGACCAGGTTTCAGACACCCAAAACAACAGGCAAGGTTACACTTCTGAATGTTGTATCCTTTCGTGTTTTAGATAATACATTTTAAACTGCATGGTACCCTAAAACAGTGGTATTCAACCTAGGGTACGCGTACCTCCGGGGGTACGCGAAGACATCTTTAGGGGGTACGTGAAATTTAAAATATATATATTATTTTATGATAAA